AAGCCTGGGCCTATGTTTAGCAACCCTACCCCGTAAAGCCAATCCAGTCGCTAAAGAAACTTCAAAGCACAAAGAAAATATAAAAAATATAAATAAACTTATTCCTCGCTAGAATCGGGGAAACGAAATGACGCCAGTTGGTGAAAGCCTTCGAGAAGCTAATTGCGGATGTGACTTCTGTCCCTCGATGAAAGCCAAAGTAAAAATGGGGATATAGACTGTCCGCACCATGTATGAACCTAGCAAGGCTTTTGTTCAGATTGAGAAAGAGATGAGAAAGTATGGCACAGAAGTGCCACGAATCTGCGAAAACAGATGGAATAGAAGTGGACTCTCCCAACTCTTAACTGGAGAGTCAATAATCTACTCCAATATTGTCACCCAGACAACAACCGCTAACACACTGAGCTTTCGAGTGGCTATCATGATTTCCCGAAGAATATCGAAGGCTGTCATGTAGCGGGAACCAGTCTCCTCCAGGATCATGACAGCAAGATTCAACTGAAAAGAAAGGAAAAAAAGTCACAATCATACATGCTACGCTATGCACCTACAAATAAAGCAGATCAAAAGAAGGAGGAGGAATTCTACAGACAGCTGCAATCAGTACTAGACACGTATCCACTGCAGTTAACGACATCAAAATCCTAATGGGTGACATGAATGACAAACTGGGAGGGGACAGCACAGGAAGAGAACTCATCATGGGTCGAGAAACACTGGGTGGAATGAATAAGAATGGACAACTGTTTGCAGATTTTGTGATGGTGGGGAGTGTATACAAACAAAATGATATTCACAAGGCAGCGACATGGATTTGATTTCACCACATGAACACACTAAAATTCAAATTGATTCATCTCAGTCTGAAGAAGGTGGAGCCGCAGGATACTGGACACAACATGAGATGAAGAACGGGAGCAGATGTAAGCTCACACCATTCACTATCTAGTGCAAGGAACCTAACTTCAAAATCAAGTTGAAATCCTTCTATTTAAGGAAGCTGGTGATGGACCACGCTTCAAGTTCAGCAGTCGGAATAGAAACCAAAGTACGAAACTACAAAGAACATCTTAACGTCAGCCATCAGAACAAAATAGGAGCCATTAAGCAACAAACGTGAAGAAACCTGTGTGGAAGAACATTAGAACTCTTAGGGAGAGATGTGGAAAGAAACTTGGATGAGTGTAATAGGAAGAAAGAAGAACTAAGCCAAGGATTGGATCATGACAGACATATAGAAACTGACAGAGGAGAGGAAGATAGTGAAACACAAGACAAACCTGTGCAAGGATGCACAACGAAAAGAAGAACTAGATACAACGTACAAAACACTGGACAAAGAAGTGAAGAACAGTGCACACAAAGACAAAAGACACTCCTACGACACACTTCCAAGTGAAGCAGAACAGACTGCAGGCTGCAGAAGAAACCTGACAACACTGTATCAAATAACCAGGTTACTATCCAGAAAGAGATCAAGGCAGATGAAACCAATGAAAGATAGTGAAGGAAAGCAGGTTACCAAACAAGAGAAACAAAGGAACAAATGGGCTGACCACTTCAAAAATCTCTCAAATCGACCAACGCCACCATTACCACCACCACCTGCAACTCGTCAAGAAATACCACCAGCAACGTCAGAACTACCAGTGAACACTCGACCTCCAACAAAAGCAGAAGTCCTGAATACCATAAAAATCCTGAAATCCAGGAAAGCAACATGACCAGATGGAATTCCACCAGAAGCACTGAAAACAGACACAGAGGCAACAACAGTGGATATGCTCACACCACTACCACAGAAGGTGTGGAAAGAAGACGCCACATGCCAAGCAATTCGCGATGCGAAGCTCAGTGATGCCTTCGAAGTGAAGTGAAGACAAGAGTAAGACAATGCTGTCTACTATCACCTATGATATTCCTGATTATGGTGGACTGGATTATGCAGCAAATCGTGAGAGGCGAGAAGATAGTCGTACACTGCAGCGGGGAGAAGATCCTAAGGGTTTGGATTTCGTCGAAGATGATTTGTGTCCAATGTCTTGTGGCACAAACTCGAAGATCTACTAGCGAAAACTAACAAGTTGAGAGAAGAGACAGTGAACGAAGATGGGACTTCAAGTGGTTGTGGAGAAGATGCAGCTCATAAAGACACCCAACCAACAACAGCATCAACAACAAACACCAATCACCACCAATGGGAGAAACGTAGAAGAAGTAGTCTCTTCCACCTATTTAGGTAGGTAGCATCGTTTCAATTACAGGAGGCACAGGCACAAATGAGGACGTCAAAGCCAGCCACAATCGGAAAGACAGCAAGACAGGCCTTCACTAATCTGAAATCAGTGTGGAGATCTATTACAATCAGCATGAAGAATAAGATCTCGATATTCAACACCAAAATGTTGAGTCAGTGCTTCTACATGGTTTAGAGACTTGGTGCCTTACGAAAAGCATTTCCAACAAACTACAGACATTCATCAACAGCTGCCTACGCTGGTTCGATATGCAAGATCGGTCAGATGGCCAGAAAGAATAAGCAGTAAGGAATTCTGGTTGATGATGAACCAACCAAGAAGCTATCGCTCAACAAATATGCAGATGAAGAAAGTGGAGATGGATTGGATTGGGTATACACTGAGAAGGCCGACTGGGAACATCACGCGTCAGGCCGTCGAGTGTAATCTGTATGGAAAACGACGAGTTGGGCATCGGAGGTGAGGGTGACATGGAGGAGATGATGTGAGGAAGAAATGAAAGTTTGTGGGCAGTCGTGGAGGGAGGTTGAAAAGACTGCAGAGAAGGGAGTGAAATGTAGACGTGCTACTGAAGCCCTATGTTCTACTAGAAAACCAAGGGATAAACAATAATACACGCATTTTTTAGTGCCTAATTCTTTAGAATGCTACGTCAAAGTCTGCTGATATCCTACATTTTAGAATTGTACTTTTGAAAACTTTCTGACTTGCGAACGAAGAAGTAGGAACAGAGCTCACAAGTGAATATTTGCAAAATGAGAATAATTTTGTCTTTTAACTCGCCTGTTGGGCAACAAAGGCAATTCTTTCAAAAAGAAAGTTTGTGTTGCAGTATCCTAGCTGAAATATTCTTCACTCTATAAGTGCATGCTAGATGATCTTAGATTGTTCGGATCAGGTATCAACTTCGACAGTCTGTACATATTTAGCAAGTACCTTGTTGTCAATTTCTATGCCACACACTTCTAAGCTACCTTTCTCTACCTATATGTTTATGTTGATAAGTAGAATTGGTGCGTTACCGTAGTACAATCTATCTGTAAAGGCTAATCAGTTAATATTACGACTGTAGACTGAGCGATAAGGAAATGTGTAATACAGCTATGAGGTAACTGTAACAACAAATTCTGATAGCCTAATTAGTTATTTTTTGTGACTTAGAAATGTTGAAGAATTGATCATTAGTTGTACACTTTCATTTTACCCACAATTATCTATAGAAAGCGGAAAAGAGTTGTCAAGTATTTGATAGTCACGTTAACTGTAACATGACAGTAGCAAGATGTAGAATTTCATTCAAAAGGCTATTTATCATTGGTAGAACTTCGGGATTTGTAAAGCTTATAAGTGTGTTTATAATATGCTTATTTCAAAGTTAATGATTTCCTATCCATTAGTTCAGCAATTTCAACACCGCACTGTGCGATTAAGATAAGAAAGCTGCATGTCAATATTATTGCTACATTAAAAACGAATTTATTACATTACTACTATGATACACTACTCAAAAGGATGCTAATTAATCATTATTCCACCTTTTTTCCACATTAAACTTGATATACAAGAAAATCTGAGTGTTCCAAACTACGGCATCATTTTCTCTCTTTAGTGATTTATGTTTTAGAAACTTGAGTTATGTATGGGAAGTCAGTCTTGGAGGTCTATGGTTGTAAATGTTTAAAATGTGAATAATTTTTCTAGAATAGGTATCTTACAGAAACTGAATGTACAGCAACAGTCAGCTATCTCCCTATACTTCAAACTAAACAGACATTTTCCAAACTACATTACTTAATTTGATATAGCCCTCAGTGATTCAATGATATTGTAATATACAAAGGTAACTCATATCTGTGAATGAGAATTTACATTCCATAAGAAGGCAGAGTAATGTAAACATTTGTATTTATTATAAAAAATATAACAAAAACTTGGTTCACCTCAACTGGCCAACATGTTTCAAACCACTTCTTCTTGAGTGATTAAAACAAATGTGCTTACGGTATATACTAATTCTGAAGCGTAAATTTATTTCCATATACAAAATAAACAGAACTTTCACAGTAAGTCAAACAAGATTCGTGTTCTATACAGTACAATCAGATATAGATGACTTGACTCTTATAAATGTCTAGTAGCATCATTGAAATAAACAAAACTACCAAACTTATCACTCTTGACATGATTATTATCAATAGTGAAATAATATAACACTCATATGGTCAGTTCAAAGTAAACAAGGGTAGAAAATGATAAAACTTTCTGAGCAATAAATTACTAGTTACATATATTATTTCAGTAAAGTAGGTCAAATAGAAAATCATACAACTTCTAATGATGACAGAAATCTTCATTCTTAGAATTTATCGAAGTAAAATATGATAGAATACAAATCAAATATTACTATATAACAAAAAAACAAAAGGCATTTGAATGGATTCTATCGAAAATCTTAATCAAAATATCGCGACACTTTAGCTTCTTTGCTGATTCAAACAAAATGTATAATTGAATAAATGAATGTGAAGAGATTAAGAATTAAAACAAGTCTAATTGAATGATTGAACAGTGTTCCAAGCTTTACACTTTGATTAAAATGTTTGTAAAATGTCATTTCATCTTGAATAAATGATGACTGTTTATTGTAAATTCTGTTAATAAATGTCATAGCCTTATACTCTTGTCATACATATAACTTTCCCAAAATATATTGTAATGATAATATCTTACTTTTTTACTTCAAGCATTAATAGACGATGAAGATGTATGAAATGAAGCTGACGATAATGATGAGTGATTATCAGATGAATTTTTAATTGTCACATGTTTATGTTTTTGTTTCAAATCTTCAGTTTTGTAGTCTGAAGCGAAAGTTGAAGATGGTTTGTATTTTTGTTGACGATTTGGAGACCCTACTGGATTCATTCTTCTCCCATTATTATTACTTTGTTGTTTAAAATTATCATTTTTTGCTTGACTTCTACTATACTTTTCTGGTAGTGAATGAACACTACTACTTAAACTAGCTGATGTTTGGTCTGATACACTACTAGTAGTAATAGTATCACTTTGCTTTTCACTTGATTGATGCGAATCTCTTATAAAGCTTCTTGATTTGGAACTGGTTACTTGTTTACCAGTTTTATTCTTAATATATGTTCTGTGATTTACGCGAGAACCTTGTTGATACTTCGGTGGTAAAATTGGCTTTGTATAGGAAGGAAGTGCATTGGGTGTAATAAAATACTTTTTATAATCTCTTAGTTGTTCTTCTTTTGTCATACCGGTTGTTGGTCGAATTTTTGTAAACGTTTAGCTAATTCCTTGTAAAGTTGTTTTTGTAAGTGAAAAGAAAAGAAACAAATTCAATATAGATGATGATATTTAATATGATAGGATGGTTTTTATCACTATAGTTTACAATTCTACAAACATATGCAGATTCATGCACTAAGATATAAGGTACACCTTTTTGTGTAGTGTATGGAATAAATCCACCTGGTTTTAGGTATACCACTGACTGGATCAGGTCTGAAACCAGTAAAATACTGGTCTAAAACAGAATGACTTAAAGAAAGGAATACACTTCACATGTGGAATGCCTGAGTTGTAGGGATGATTATATCCAGAGATAATGTTAAGTTTCTCCGTGTTCAAAATTATTACAAAATAACCTGTTGTCATGTTTGAACTGAATAAGTCAAATATAAATCCTTCGTGCTATATTAGGGAACCCAGAAAATCTAGAATAGTTAAGAGTAAATAACCTGCATATAAGTCTAACAACATAAGTAGCATATATCCAGACAATTCTATTTCTGAAGCAGTATCCATCATGGACTGACATCAGTTGGGGAACCACTGAAGATCTGGGAGCACTTGACAGCCGTTTCGTCCTAGTATAGGAATCCTCAGCAGTACGCACCCACGACCCGGCTACGGATCGAACCCAAGACCTTCAGGTTTCACGGCGAGCGAGTCAACCATTCAGCCACTGGGTCGGTTTCCAGCGGCTCACAATTTTCCACTTCTGTCAATTCACGACATAGCGCAACTATCACCCAAGGTCTTCAGTTAGCATCCACTTCACTTCTGACTGGTTGACCACACAGGTCACGGCTTCTCATTAGAACTTCCTGATATCCATCTGGAAGCAAGTCAGTAATGAGCACTATACTACTTCTAAAATAAAAAAATCGCCATTCATCTCAAAAATACAATTCTATTTCTGTCTCTTCTCTATAATAAAATCGAATCAACGGAAACAAGGATCATATGGCATTCCCTGACCAATGGAATTGCAGCACAACTTTAGAAACAGTGGTTAACTTTAGTCGTCTGGCAACAAATGTATATCCATTCTACTTTGCATAAACAGATTATGAAAACTATCATGAAATAGTGAAATACTCTCCAGCCTAGTGACCGTAAGCTTTTGTCTGTGATCAAAAAACAGCCAAAACTATCGAGTGAAAACTGCAGATGATATAACAAAGAATCAGTCGCAAAGATAACGGTTAATCCTACTTATCATCATCTTGTCATTTTCAATGTTATACCCTTCATAGTTTTTACCCTCATCTCTGTCGTTATTTTAGGCAATAATTTTGTTTTCAGTTTGCTTAATCCTGTCCAGTCTAATATTTTTAAAGTGTGGATATCACCAACAGATATGATCATTTATCAAATTTTGACGTTTCTTATTTATTCACTGGCCCACCTGTCTTATTATTATTATTATTATTATTATTATTGTTATTATTATTAGTCCCTTGGGTTCCTAATGGAACATACCGCTTCAGTAGCACGTCTCCAGTGAACTCTGTTCCCTAAAATCTTTTGAACCTGGCTCCACGACAGCCCACAACCTCTCATTTCCTCCATGTCACCCTCGACTCGACGTCCAACTCGTCGCTTCCCATGGGGATTCCACTCGAGGGCCTGGCCTGACGCGTGATGTCCTCAGTCGGCCTTCTCAGTGCATGCCCAATCCAGTCCATCTCCACTTCCTTCGACATACTTGTTGAGCGATAGGTTCTTTGTTGGTTCGTTCCTAAGCAAAGTTCCTTGTTGCTTATTCTGACTATTCTGGCCATCTGATCTTCAGTAGCGAGCGTAAGCAGTTGTTTATGAGTATCTGTAGATTGTTGGAAATCCCTTTCGTAACGCGCCAAGTCTCTGAGCCATTCAGAAGCACTGACTTTACGTTGGTGTTGAAAATCCGGATCTTGTTCCACATGCTGAGTGCAGAAGATCTCCACACTGGTTTCAGGCTAATGAACGCCTGTCTTGCTTTTCCGATTCTGACATGACATCCTCATCTGTCCCGCCTGTAGTTGAAACAGTGCTTCCTAGATTGGTGAAGGAGGTTACTTCCTTTAAGTTTCTTCCGTTCATCGTGACTGGAGTTTGTTGTTGTTGTTGGTGGTGGTGGTGCGGTATCTTCATCACTTCTGTCTTCTCTATATTCACTTGAAGTCCCGTCTTCGCTGCCTCTTCTATCAACTTGTTAGTTTTTGCCTGTAGATCTTCAAGTTTATGTGACATCAGGCACAAGTCATCGGCGAAATCCAAGTCTTCTAGGTTCTTTTCCGCAATCCAGTGTATCCCCCTCTTCTAGCTCCCCACTGTTTGCTGCATGATCCAGTCCAGTCGACCACAATCAGGAATATCATGGGTGGTGATAGTAGGCAACCTCTTTTCACTCCTGTCTTCGCTTCGCTTCAAAGGCATCACTGAGCTTCCCATTGTGAATTACTTGGTATGTGGCATCTTCATATAGTTGTTGAATGAGGCGGATAAAGGTTTGCGATACTCCGTAGTAATGAAGCGGTTTCCAAATTACCTCTCGGTCGACGCTGTCGAAGACCTTCTCAAAGTCGATGAGGTTGAGGTAGAGGGTTGACTGCCATTCTATACTCTGTTCTATGATGATGCGAAGCGTTGCAATTTGGTCTGCACATGATTTGTACTTCCTGAATCCAGGTAGCCAGCCTGTTCCGGTCATAGTTTTGAATCCAGTGCATCCCTTAGCCTCTCCAGGATGATGCGGCTTAATATTCTGCTTGCTGTGTGTGGACAGGAGAGTGATCCCGCGCCAGTTCTTGCAAGCACTGAGGTCTCCCTTCTTCGGCAGTTTGACAAGATAACCCTTCTTCCAATCGTCAGGTACCTTCTCTTCCTTCCACACCCTCTGCAATAGTGGTGTGAGCATGGCCGCTGTTGCCTCTGCATCTGTTTTCAGTGCTTCTGGCGGTATTCCATCTGGTCCTGCTGCTTTCCCGCATTTCAGTAGCTTTATGGAGTTCAGAACTTCCATTTTCGTTGGGGGATTAATGTTCACTTGTAGTTCTGTGTCTGGGCTGCAGCTGGTATTTCTGGACGAAGTGCAGGCGGTGGTCGATCCAAGAGCTTCTTGAAGTGGTCGACTCATCGTTTCCTTTGTTTCTCTTCTGTCGTAATTAAATTTCCTTCATCATCTTTTATTGGTTACACGTATGTTGATCTCCTCCCAGATAGCAACCTGGTTATTTGATACAATGTTGTCAAGTCTCTGTCTCTCCTACCAGCCATCTGTTCTGCTTCACTTGCCAGTGTCTCGTAGAAGTGTCTTTTGTCTTTTCGGACACTCTTCTTCACTTCTTTGTCCAGTGTAGTGTTTTATACATTGTACTCAGTTCCTCTTCTCGTTGTGCATCCATGCACTGTTTTATCTTGTGTCTCACCATCCTCCTCTCCTCTATCAGCCTCCATCTATCCATCGAGATCCATTCCTTACCTTCTTTCTTCTTCCTTCCTAATACGGTTACGCAGGTTTCTTTCCACATAGCTTTCAAAGACTTCCAGTGTTCTTCCACACAGGTTTCTTCACGGATGTTCCTCGATATCTCCCATGTTGTCTTGATGGCTGGCTGCCGTGAAGATTTCCTTTGTAGTTTCGTCCTTCATTTCAGTTTCCGAGTGTTGTACTTGAACTGCAGTCTATCACCAGCTTCCTTGAAGGCTTTTAACTTGATTTGGAAGGTTCCTTCACTTGATAGTGGTGTGAACCTACATCTGCTCCTCTCCTTGACCTTGTGTCAAGTAGGCTGACTGCGTCTCCATTTTCTTGAGATTGAGATAAAGTCGATCTGATTTTTAGTGTGCCCTGATGTCTCATGAAATTCATGTCGCTTTGTGGATATCCTTGTGCTTCAACACACTCTCTGGCCTCCAATCGCCAAATCGCTGAATGCACAGAATTCTGCAAACAATTCTCCATTCTCGTTCATCACCTCACCGAATGCTTCTTCACCCATGGTTAGTTCTCTTCCTGTATTGTCCCCTCCCAGTTTGGCATCCATGTCACCCATTAGAATTTTGATATTGCTAACTGAGGTCTTGTCCAGTGTTGATTGGAGTTGTCTGTAGAATTCCTCCTTTTTCTCTTGCTATGCATTATTTATAGGTGCATAGCGTAGCGTAGCATTGTATGACTGTGATCTTCCTTCATTTTAAGTTGAATCTTGCTGCCATGACCCTGATCCTGGAGGAGATTGGTTCCCACTGCATGAGAGCCTTCGATGCTCTTGAGGACATCATGATAGCCACTCCATAACTCAGTGTGCTGTGCTCGTGGTTGTCGTCTGGGTGACAATATCGGAGTAGGTTATTGATTCTCCAGTTGACAGTTTGGAGAGTCCACTCCCATTCCATCTGCTTTCGCGAATTCCCAGCACTTCAATATGATACCTCCTCATCTCGTTTGCAATCTGGGCTGCCTCACTGGGTTCAAACATAGTGCGGACATTCCATGTCCCCACGTTTACTTTCGCTTTCATCGAGACAAGACACATCGGCCAATTGGCTTCTCGAAGGCTTTCACCAACCGGTGTCATTCAGCCTCTCCGACTCCAGCGAGGAATAATTTTGTTTTTATTTTTTATATATCGTTTTTACTTTAAAGTTCCTTTAGCGGTTAGATTTGTTTTACGGAGTAGGGTTGCTAGCCCTATGCCCAACCTTCCCTCTTTACCCGGGCTTAGGACTGGCTAGTAACTAGTGAACTAGTTTACCACGTGTCTTAAATATAAAAAAATGAAAGATGGCTTATTATCAGTAAAATAACTTGAATGCGGTATGATTTAATTTAATTTAAATGATACTGTCCGTAATATTGACTAAGAAAATACGAGTTGAGCATTTGATAAATATAAAATGTTATAACTGACAGAAAGACTTCCAAGATTTACTGAAACATAACTCACCACCAATTATTTTTAATTATCATTGAAAATTGCCTAAGCAAACTCTGTAGATAACTTTTAATCGATCATCCACGAAATATGCGCATTACACTATCTAAACCTTTAAGATCAGTCGCTACGAGATTGTTCATTGGAATCAGTAGTCGGTTAAAGAACATTAGATTGCGAAGCCTTAGTATTATTAACTGAAACTTTACATATATCTACAATAAAACACTCAGTGAAATCCCTTCAAGTCAATGAGTGGGAATTAATTTTTGTGTCTAATTTGAAGATATATTGTTGATGAGTACCGACAAGAATGAAATGTAAGCTGAATGATTTTTTACCTTGACCTTGAATCATCTACCATTAAAATAGTGCATTATAATATAATTTCAATTAATTCCACTGAATACCTTTAAAACTTCAATCATGAAAACCAAACAAGTCTGAAGGTGAAACAGGATGAAAGTTTCTCACTATCGTCTGACTGGTTTGCATACTGTTTGCAATCTATGAAAGAAGTTAAGGGTTATTAGTGTTCACTCTTAAGAACTCCTAAACTAGGACGAAAGATTTATGCAGTGGTCATAGCTTTTTGATGATCCCTCAGTTAATGTTGATTCATGGTGCAAACTGCTATGAAATTAGTCAGTCCTCAAGAAAAAATCTAAATGATAGGACAAATTATTACCATTTGTTAATATGTTTGTAATTCTCCGTTATTTCACTGGATTGAATCATTCGACTTCTATTGCTAAATAGGCTCCTATGCGGATGTTTTGATATTGCCTGAATATTTATTATAATAATTTACTTTGATCTGTCTAGTGTATTACACTTTGGCGTTTGAAGCGATGATTATAAGGTTCAAGTCTCAGTGGGGACAGTATTATTCACTGGGATGAAGGTATATAAAGGTGACGAGTCCCAAATAGGATGAAACGCATGTCCTGGATTCCTCTATTAGCCACAATTCAGTAAATTATCTTGATAGCTAACATTATTAAAAGATTATCAAAACTTGCAAGTGATATGAACCAGAAGTTCATGATGTCTGATAATTTTTTGGAAAATACAGTTATCTACCCCCAACATATATAAACAAATAATTAGGCCAGTATTATACAGCTAAACGATTAGTTGATAGTTAATCAGATACACTATATCACATCAATGACTGTTTCTACAAGTATTATAAAAAATGCTATGGATACAATATCTTCTCAGACTGTTATCTGTTTTCTTAACTTACTCCTAGCTGTTGGTCAGTTCAATGTTGCCGGTAAACATTACAGTTGTATGAAGGTATAATCTAAATTATATAAATACTCTTACTGTACTCTTCACGTTTTATAATCATATATAGTTAACTTTTGCATTAATCGCCTCATGCTTTCATAAATCATCAGATAAGTCCATTCAGAAAGGTAACTTAAAGACTTATAGAAACAATATTGAATTTTAAAAAATAAATTCTTGTATATTCGACCACTATTATCAGTAGCGGAGAATAGTGGACGAAAATTCAGTTTTTCATTCACAGACTGAGGCTTTGTTTCAGATCGAACAACTGGTGTTAAAAGAAATATCCAGTTAGCAGAAAGTAGTCCACCATTTAACCTCCTGAAAAAGCTAGGCATATTATTATAATAATTATTATTTTTCCCTTGGGTTTCTAGTGGAACATAGGGCTTCAGTAGCACGTCTACATTTCACTTCCTTCTCTGCAGTCTTTTCAACCTCCCTCCACGACTGCCCACAAACTTTCATTTCTTCCTCACATCATCTCCTCCATGTCACCCTCACCTCCGATGCCCAACTCGTCGTTTCCCATACAGATTACACTCGACGGCCTGACGCGTGATGTCCCCAGTCGACCTTCTCAGTATATGCCCAATCCAATCCATCTCCACTTTCTTCATCTGCATATTTGTTGAGCGATAGCTTCCTGGTTGGTTCATCATCAACCAGAATTCCTTATTGCTTATTCTTTCTGGCCATCTGACCGATCTTGCATATCGAACCAGCGTAGGCAGCTGTTGATGAATGTCTGTAGTTTGTTGGAGATGCTTTTCGTAAGGCACCAAGTCTCTAAACCATATAGAAGCACTGACTCAACATTTTGGTGTTGAATATCGAGATCTTATTCTTCATGCTGATTGTAATAGATCTCCACACTGATTTCAGATTAGTGAAGGCCTGTCTTGCTGTCTTTCCGATTGTGGCTGGCTTTGACGTCCTCATTTGTGCCTGTGCCGCCTGTAATTGAAACGATGCTGCCTACCTAAATAGGTGGAAGAGACTACTTCTTCTACGTTTCTCCCATTGGTGGTGATTAGTGTTTGTTGTTGATGCTGTTGTTGGTTGGGTGTCTTTATGAGCTGCATCTTCTCCACAACCACTTGAAGTCCCGTCTTCGTTCACTGCCCTGCCTCTTCTCTCAACTTGTTAGTTTTCGCTAGTAGATCTTCGAGTTTGTGCCACAAGACATTGGACACAAATCGTCTTCGACGAAATCCAAATCTCCTAGGATCTTCTCCCCGCTCCAGCGTACGACTATCTTCTCATCTCTCACGATTTGCTGCTTGATCCAGTCCACCACAATCAGGAATATCATAGGTGATAGTAGACAGCCTTATCTTACTCCTGTCTTCACTTCACTTCGAAGGCATCACTGAGCTTCGCATCGTGAATCGCTCGGCATGTGGCGTCTTCTTTCCACACCTTCTGTGGTAGTGGTGTGAGCATATCCACCGTTGTTGCCTCTGTGTCTGTTTTCAGTGCTTCTGGTGGAATTCCATCTGATCCTGTTGCCTTCATGGATTTCAGCATTTTTATGGTATTCAGGACTTCTGCTTTTATTGAGGGTCCTGTGTTCACTGGTAGTTCTGACGTTGCTGGTGGTATTTCTTGACGAGTTGCAGGTGGTGGTGGTGGTCGATTGAAGAGATTTTTGAAGTGGTCAGCCCATTTGTTTTTTTGTTTCTCTTCTTTGGTAACCTGCTTTCCTTCACTATCTTTCATTGGTTTCGTCTGCCTTCATCTCTTCCCGGATAGTAACCTGGTTATTTGATACAGTGTTGTCAGGTTTCTTCTGCAGCCTGCAGCCTGTTCTGCTTCACTTGGAAGTGTGTCGTAGGAGTGTCTTTTGTCTTTGTGTGCACTGTTCTTCACTTCTTTGTCCAGTGTTTTGTATGTTGTATTCAGTTCTTCTTTTCGTTGTGCATCCTTGCACAGGTTTGTCTTGTGTTTCACCATCTTCCTCTGTTCTGTTAGCCTAGCATAGTTACGGACCAACTGTGAAGTGTCACTAAGTTGTAGACTAGAATTCATTACACATGCAGAACATATTCAAATATCGCTCCTTCATTAGTTTTAAGACTGTACAGTATCAGCGTTTGTAAGAAATGGTAAATTCGTTTGCGTACGCTAAGTTGGTCAAAAGGTTTAGTAATAGGTAAAGGATCACATCCAGACGATTATCTGCAAATAAGTTACTTTAAAACATAATAGATACTCACTTTAAATGATTAGTTTGCGTAAGAGATTATCATAAACCTTCAAATCAACGTAGGTTCTTGCATAAACAAGGTTGAGTACTGTGGTATGCTTTTATGCCACCTTCTTGGGTGAAAGACACTCTCAAATAACATTTGGATCGACTAATATAGATGAAAACTTCAAATGAAGTAGTGGGATCAATACTGAGTAACGACTAGTGTGTCTGTATTCCTACAGTTAGCAACAAAGTATATACGTCCTCAGACAAATGACATGTATTATACTTACATAGTTCTCCATCTGGATCTTTTCATTTTGACGATAGCGATTTAATGTTGAGTGATACAATCTGCGCACAGCTATCTCAGTATTGATACAACTACTTGTCGAATGCTCTATACTTGAAAACGGTCTCTGATTTTGATATTTTAAGTAATCTTCATACATAGTATAAAATGCGGTTGTTCTATCACTCGGCAACGGCTTTGAATTGGGGTCCCTCCATGGTGGACGAATATGTAGACGATGAATCTTTTTATCGAAAGATTTTAGAGCATTTGCAATCTGTGCAACTTTAATGCATTCATCGTTCATGTTATAAATACCATTATTCAATTCATTATGAAATGTGTGTCTGTTTTGTTCAGGATAAGAAAGACCTTTAGCATTTATAGTTCTCTGAACAGGTGAATTTCTGGACACCCGGTAGTCATCTTTGTGTATACTGACATCTTCATTTTCACTAGAAAAGGAAACTAGCTCGTCTTCTTCATAATCATCATTCTCATCACCATCCTCATCATTATCTTTCTCTTCTCCCTTCACATTCTTTTCACTTATTTTTTTAACGTTATTCTGAACACTTTTACTGCTAGTTTCACTTACAGTTGGGAACATTCTATTAGAATAATTTACTACTGGTGTTTCTGCTAACGCTGGATTTTCAGTATGATTGTTTGAGTAGCTTATCTCATCATTCTCACTGTGTGCCGCTTCAGAAGTGCAGTATGTTTCATCACATAATGAATTTGATACCAGTTTTTCATTTGATTCATACAGTTTGCTTTCTTGTTGTTGACTACTCTTCACTTTTTTGATATTTTCTGATAAATCAACACTTTTGTTCTCAAATCTTGTTACATTATTCTTCTGAAGTGATTCTGGAGCCTTTTCACTAAGTGTTTTGAAATAGTATACAAAAATATAATTAATCAATGAATTATACAGTAAGAACAATATGTGTCAGTAGAATAAATATTCAACAAAATTGATTCAGTTTGATATAAGTAAGAAATGGTATAAAACTGATGAGTGAACCAGTCGACTCTTAATGAATAAATATAGAACTTTTAGTATTTTTTTCTGATTATTCTACGAAATATAGTACTTATATCCAAATGTATTTTACAGAGGAAAATCAAGATTTATCTTTCAGAAGCATAAACGCAGCAGCATCTGAAAAACTTCACATCATATTACGTGCTTTTTCACACTGGATTCTGTTATTATTGTCAAGGTGTTAATTATTGAGTAAGGTTTACTAACAACACTTTCGTCATAAATTGGGTAACGAAAATTTTCTACATATTTCCAACTTCCAGAAGTTAGAAATCAGTGAGACTGGTACGCCATACAGCTGTATACCATGGAAAAATAATATTAAGGATCACAGCCAAGAGCTCTATAACAATCTATGACTGTATCTTGTGTTAATTAACAATGAACATAAGAAATAGCCAAACAAATGGGCTGTATAAGTTGAATAACCATGGTTTCTGAGGCTTCTCCGTAGCATGACAAGGTTAATATGATAATATTTCTAGGAATTCATGCACACACTGAAGTAGTTATTGAAAATCAGCCACAAACATAAAACAGGATGATATTAACCCTAAATGTGTTTTGTTGCCGCATTCGGATTCAAGTCTTAAGAGTTTCATCAGAAAATGTTCAGCTGATGTCAACATAACTTTTTAAGTACAGTGCATACCAACTACCTAATTTAACTTCATAAATAAATAATTGATTGATTTTTTTCTAAATTGGTTTGGAGATTTTGTTCTTTAGTAAGTGTTAGCTATCTTTTTTGGTATTTCAGTCTTTCTGTGAAAGGAAAAAATTTGTTTGCAGAGGATTTTACTCCCTAATGACTGTCACTATAATTTTGGTTATTTCCCTGTGTTAATGATGAAACACCAAGTAGTCGATAATGCCAACTTTGATGACCAATGTTAATAAGCATTGGAGTGCATTGTTGATGCAAGCAGCTAATCATCAACAAAACAAACTGAAAATAGGTACCTACGTCAAGCAACAAGGGTTACATAGTTAGACTATTATAAACGTTTTCTGTAGGCCATATCATTACCACTAGAAAAGGTTCGATAGTGTAAGGTTTGGATCTCCCTAAGAACTGTTCGTATACTGAGAGGAACCATTATCAATTAAGAGTACACGGATGATAATTTCTATCGTAACTAACAATACTTTGTTTAGGTCCTAACCTATTTCTATAGGTTGAGGTTTTTCTAGCTACTTCTCAGGGAAAAACTACATGATTTTTGAACATATCTACTGTAAAACACTCATAATTGGACCCTTTTATCACATACAACGAAGCATACCTGATCATACAAATAGTTTCGTAATTTGTAGATACAATAGAATGTAACTCCATACTGATAAAAGAACAATAGATGTGGAGTATACAATACATATCATCTTCAAAAACTTAAAAACCTAGAACAATCTACTTATTAATGCAATCTTCTCTAAATGAGTCTTGAAAATGCCGTAATGAAAACCTTTGAAAAGATAATTGGGACGTTGTCATGAATCCAAAGAAGAGCAAGTTATTATTATTCAGCTTGTATTATGGTTTTCATAAAGACTTATCTAGCAGGACAAAAGACGTCATAGCAAATGAAACCTCAGAAACATTTAATAGTAGTGGAAGACCAGTAGATCCAATTCTCACACATTACATGCAAGCTTTTAAAAAGGTAAAAGACACCAATCTGGCTTTGAATCTCGAAGGTTTCTTATAGTCTGCTTGAATCAAATAGGGAGTTCATTCGTGGTAGATGGTAAAATGTGAGGGTCAGCTCTAAAATATCGATTTGGAATCACTTGTAGAGCGAAATGCCACAATGCATGCTATTAAGTTCGTTATTATTTCTTTCACACAATAACTGGTAACCGGGTATCACGTTTCCCAGGGTTCCTTATGTTCATGAGGTAGATGTCTAGTTGATATTGAAAGCAGATGAAGATATATTCTCTTTTTAAAGGAACCTTAATAAATGTTTGACCTGGTAAAAGAACTAGCTGATATCAATGTAGTTAAATGTATAGCCATACATATGAGGTATACAATTAGCTGTACGTATGGCACTAAATTCGACTATCTGCACTCACCACTAACTTTTGATAATCTAAGAGTTAAAGCGGATCAGGAATTAAACATCGTATCACACTGCTACTAAGTTATGACTCAGGCTTTATCACATATCAAAAAATTCAATAGGATCATCATTAATGTGTTAAATAGCCTTAATTTAACTAGAAATAAAAGTTGTGTAGACTTAACAGCTGGTTGTATGAAGGAAAACTCAGACTTACTAGAAAAAGTTCAGGACTCAGTCACACATGTAACTCTGAGGACATAAAACTTCATCCCAAAAGGAAACCCCTATGAATTTCTAACTTCTTCATGATATTATTTCAGATACTGGAGGAAAATCTAACCGTGATAATTGGGATCGTGAACAAAGATAAAAGACCAAACACAAAATTTTTTCCAAGTAACCAGGTTAACACATCCAACAGATATTTTAAAAGAGTGAAAGGGCCAAGAAAACTACATCAACAAGAAGTATTTGTTTCATTCTTGACCAGCTAACTAGACATCAGTTTGTAGAATAGTAATTATTCACACTGTTGATTGACCCATTCATAAGAAGCCTGAAAAAGCTTGGGTTTATGACTGAAAAGAATAAGATAGTCTTTGCTCCTCAAAAGCTGAGGACAGGGCTGATGAGTAAAATACGGGATACACTGAACACTTTTGGAAACAGGTATGTGATGAGTAGACTTGAGGTGTTATCGTTGCTTGTTTTTAAAATCTACCAATTGCTATATACAAACGTTTAGCTGCTCCTTAATAACTTCATCAGTGAATGAGGAATTCTGCTAAATGTGTGCCGATTCTTTTATTACGTCGAGAGTAGAATTTACAAGATTGGAGGTATACTCTTGTGTGTATTACTTTTATGATTGCAAGACTGTGTAAGGCTTTTAGGCGACAAAAAACAAGTGCCACAATTTTTTTCTTCGCTCAAATAATATCAACGTAGTCAAGCTGAATAAAGCACAGAACGACAACTCCTAACAAATGATTTTCGTTCTACAAGCACAAACATCGTGTGCATACTTTGTATTTCTTCACTTTATGAGGAAGAGACAAAATGAGGAAAACAGCTGGTGTCGAGAAGAAGAGTGGGTACCCAGAGATCAAAAATTAAAAAAAATTCCTGGCAACTAAGTAGAACGATAAAGTAATGTTCAACGTGGTGCGTACTAATAGTATCGCTTTTTTCCAACTTTTAACTCAAGTCAACCCGAAACTCTCTTCGACTTCGAGTTACGTCAAAACGAGCTCAAACCAAGCCTTTGAACAAACCATGAAACCGGACTTATACTGTATTGTCCAAGGGCTGGTAAGATTTGAGCTCTGGGTCACTATTCTCAATCTTTACCTAGGACGGAAACGGAAACATTAGATCGTTTCCCAACTTCCCACCTACCACACCTGAAAATTTTCTCAAACTTATCATCACTTTGTAAAAAACAAGTTCCATTTCGTTCGTATTTCCTAGTCAGCATTTTCGTTGGCCCAGGTACAAAAATTCTAGACCACTCATTATGGAAAACACCAGGATAAATGTAAGACTTGATGCATGGTTTTTGTTACATTCTCCTTACCTATGGTCCAGTGTTTACAGGCCCCGAATTCGACCACATATCCAGCATATTTGGCTTTGGGTTTTTACAAATATCCCAGTGACTGACCTGACATTTTCTGCGACGGCCTTACATCCGATCGTACCATCCCGACATTCGGCCCGACTTAGAAGGTGGCCAAACTTCTAGTACTATGTGCATTACGTCTCGAACCACATCAGATTTATACCTTACCTCTGATCTAACATTATCCTGTCGACTGGGTTTTTTATTTCACTACTCGCTGTTTAGGCAAACATACTTAGATTTCATCCAGAAAATACCACTGAGAAGCTGTTACAAGATATTCAGAAAAGAGGCTTTTTTCGGCAATGACAAACTTTCGAACGAGACGAATTGGTATTGGGACGAAAAATGCCAAAACAGCAGTTATTGAAGTGCAGCTAACGCAAGGGATAAGTATGTTTGCGCACACACAAAATAGAGTAGTCCTACGGGAATATAGAGCTGATGAAGGGTTAAAATAACAACGCTAGCATTTATATGCACGAATAGACAGCTTCAAAATCCTATCTTAGTTCCTTCTCTTCATTTTGCGACCGAAACATCGTTCATACTGCCTGTTGGCAGTGTTATGCCCTGTTTGGGGCGAGGCGACTTCTGTTGAGAAAGCTTCAAAGGCCTTCAACACGCCATTCAAGGGCTAACCAGAAACGTCTAGTGTGACCTTCTGGAACGTTGAGGAATCAGTGGACAAATACCCCTAAATGCATCATACACATGATCTGGAGCTGCTTGAACCACCCATTAGATATATCCTACTTGATGCGTCTAAAGGATTATAAATCTCCAAACTAGTCGAGTTAGGGGAAAAAGCATCGCAAACCCGACGAGGGGAGGATTTTGAAGGTCGGCCCAGTCAACAAAGAAGAAACGGATGTAATCTTGAACAATGCATCCAGCCTACGAAATTTAGATATCTGCATCCAACAGATCTCAAGACCCCAGTCTATGAACGAGGTCCTGGTGCAGTGGTCGTTACTGAAAACTTACCAACAAAGGATTCAGACTTTACGCCTCTTCTAACAAAGTATTACTGTGTAAGGGCAGATAGGGTTGTGTCGCAAAAGTGGCAGCATACTACTCTGTTTTCGTCATGATGTCTACATACGATCGGTCACTTCAGAAGCAAATGAATGCGATACCTTCGAAGTGGCCAGTTGTGGGCTGAAGTCAAAGTAAGGTTTCCGTACTATTAGGGTTGTTTACCGTAGTCTATCTTGCCTTCCTAATGACTTCGTGTTAACTCGTATAAGTAACTCGAGCAGAAAAAACAGATTCCTAATATTTAGGGATCTAAACGCTTCATAGGTAAACTGAATGTAGCTAACAGTCTCAGCCTCTGGCAGTACTAGAATCTGCTTAAGTTCATTACGCAACCTGTAAAACATGATACGGTTCTGAGCAGAAGCCATCGTTATCAGATTTGGCTTATAATCCACCAATGTGAAAATATTACGCATCGACGATACTTTCCCTGGTTAGCTAATAGCGATCACGTAGTGCTAAATTTCGGTTTCCAAACCTATGAGTTTGATCATTACACTGCCTCCCCTAGACCTAATGTACAGCAAGGAGATATTTCAAGCACAAAGGATTTCTCATTAGATATGGGACAGACTATCGACAAAAACTTATTAGACGAGAGCACCTGCGATAGGTTAGAACTCTATTCGAAGAGATAACGATGCCATTTATTCCATAGTCAACTACACGAATATCCTCACATCGCCCATCGTGGTTTGATAAACTACTAAAGCGGAGGAAACGTTTATGGAACGTGTTCATAAAAACTGGACTGTACTGTAAAGTTCATAATTTGTGCAAAACTTTGGTTACACAGTCTCGAATGTCTTACAGAAATCGACTTGTAAATGACTGCCAAAACTGTCCTAAAAGACATTTCATATGCACCAGAAGGGGGACTAAAAGAGAATGTGAAATTACCTCGCTGATGATGGTTTAAAGTCTGATATTATGGAAGAATGCAATTTATCCAAAGCTAAATGCCTATCGGATTGCTTTAGTGAAGTTCTCTCCATAAATCTCGAGGAGGAATTGATCGATAGTGGTGTCAGCACTGCCTCACTAATGCATACAGTGCCCGTAATAAGAGAAACAGTCTTCCAGCGACTTATTAATCCTAAACCTGGAAAATCGCCAGGTCACGATGGACTGCAATCTGGATTGTTATCCTTTCTGAAAGCAACTTTTGCTGAGCAAGTCACTGATGTATCCAGAATGTTCTTATCTCATAATCGCGTACTTAGAAACTGGAAAAATCCCATAATCAGTCCAGTCTTTAAGGCTAGTAGTTACCAGTTGGTGGCTAACTATCGCCCTGTGAGTCTCATATAATTACTAAGATTTCAGGATAAATAATTCATGATAAGACATGCAAATGTGTAACGTAACCATTTGGCACTACTGAAATAATGCTTCCGTACTGAACACTCCTGTTTAAAAAACCTCATTGTGAGAGAGGAATGGCTTGCAGCCTATGGTTGCAAGCCATCAAGAGATACCGTGTTTACAGACTTCACTAAGGCATTCTATAAAGTCTCATGTAAAATTGACATGAAAGCCCTCTTCTTTCTGGATTGGTTCAGCACTGCAATTCTGAATTAGGGACCTTTTGTACGACAGAAGGCAAAAAGTAAGGGCAAGTGCAACACCGGCAAGGTGAAAACCTGTGATGAGTGGAGTTCAATAAGGAACAATTTTAAGTCTCCTATTCTTCTCCTTATGTATCAAAGAAATACCGCAAATGCCCAACTGTTCGGTGCTGCTACTTACCAGTGATATAAAAGTTCGGACAGTCATAAGTAGTGGTGCTGATAAATATGCACTTCACGCGGATCTGGATAAACTGGTAGGTTGGTCCAAACGTTTTTGCTCTTGAAATTAAATCCGGTAAAAAGGCATAAATGTACACTGGTCATAGCAATTTTTCCCGGCATTCCGCTAGAGGTGGGCAAATGCTTCCAGCTTATGAACTAAAAAAACTTGGCTGTCATGATTTGAAAACTTCGCCACACTGTCATCCAGCTAAAACAAAAGGCTTTCGTGCACTACGGTCCATCCACAGAGACTTCAAAAGTACTGGTCAGGAAGAGATTAGGATACTCTGTTCTGCCTACGTTAGATTCTACTTGGAATACTGAACTGAAGCAGCCATTTCGTGTCTGAAGAAGAATGCTGACGTACTTAAGCGTGCAACGAGGTCAGATCTTAAGACTATGGAAACTCTTTGCTCTATTAGGAACGACTAGACTGGCGAAACTCGTTCCTGCTGTCTTACGATAAAAAACAGGGTTGATCGCATACTAATATCCCGCATCTTTAGTAACGAGTTCGGAAATAATATGAACCGTCTCTTCTCTTCCGCTAGGATCGATTATCTCTGAGGAGACTATGAGAAAATTCTAAAGTCACTATCGAACCAACCTGGTCTGAATCTGAGTTTCTTCTACCGTAGGGTTAACCACTGAAACCTCTTACCCCAGCAAACATTATCAGCACCTTCTATCGGCGCGTTCAAGGAGAAACAAGATCTTCAAATGCCAACAGGCTTACTATCGTTATTATAGAAAACTGAAAAACTGTTATGACACTACAAATGTGATGACTCCGCATCCCACTAAGGGGCAGTGCATCTAAAAGCTACTTATATATATATATATATATATATATATATATATATATATATATATATATATATATATATATATATAGGATGTGATAGCTTAAAAACTATGAAGACACAAACAGAATAAACCCACCGATTTTCACTGTAAAATTCGTAATCTATGGATTCTGTGGAATCAACTGAATCGTCATGGAAGTAATCAGACAGAATCTTAGTCGACATATTATCCAGTAAGTCGTCCACAGCGGCAATTTCCGTACACAAAGTGTAATGGTTACTTGAAGTAGTAAAACAAAAGCTTGAAACTTTATGTTGTAGAGATGGTAAGAGGTTTTCTTCGAAAACTTGGTTATAAACATCAGAAAGCATTCTCTATTCAAAACTGTCCCAATTCTTTGCATCTTACCGTGGAGCCTGGAATCGCCTTAAATCACTTATCTTCTGATGTTGTTGCTAACTGTGGTGTGAACTAAGACAGGAGGCTTCTTCTGAGCGGCTTGTTTGAGCTGGCGGCAAAAATAAGACTGAAATGAAGAAAAGATCCCCGGTGAAACCAATGGAGAAGAAGTGTGAAAGAACAAGGTGAATGGAAACAAACCGGAAGGGAGGGATAAACCTACTAAGATCCAACGGAGATAACAGCGATGCAAAAAAACTTAGTAAATAGGATAAGATCATCGAATCAGAGGAAAGGTAAGGGTCAAGTGGGATTACAGGAGGGATTATGAACATAAAAATGGTTTGATGTTGGTGGGCAGTTGGAAGCTGGGGGAAGCGTCTAAGAGGAATGTATAAGGTTGAGTCAAGTTCGCGGTGACGGGGTGGTTCGAAAGTTTCGAAACGGGGTTAACTGTGCCACACCGTTCGGATTCGGTCCGCTGTATCAATCTAGACTGTATCCCAGCTATCGACAGTCCGTTTATTGAAAATCTTGGCAGGTAGTGTGTTCCACTGACCACAAACTCACTCGCACTAGTAGACAATTGTCATTGTAAGGCTTTTGGTTGAACCTGAAGACGAACCTGATGAGAATTTGAATACTATGAGCAACGGGGTAAAACAAGATCTTATCCCCCTAGCTCCATTTGCAGCTTATGACCATCTGAGCAATCCAGATTTGCCGCATTCCCTAGAGCGACGAATTTTTCGTATTCCTGTATGGAAATCATTGTAAGATGACAATATCTTTCTCCAGGTAGGTGGACATAAAATGGGGGTTTACAATGTTCTGACCTACATGCACGGCCAATATACAGTTGCGAACAAGTCGGAAGTTAGCATGCCCAAAGTCTGGAAGTGACAAGCTATGACACTGAGCCCTTGTTAGCTGAAGGGTGACAGTGGTCAGTAGCTTCATATTCGTCTCTATGATGCCTTTCAACGTCAGAATGAGTATTATTTGCCTCAACTATTGAGCAGGAACTAAAATTCGACCCGCACCTGTCCAATATCATTATCTCACACTTTTCTGTTGATTTACTGCAGGTTTCATGCATTTGTTTCTGGATTTGAGAAAAGTTCACCTAAAGATGGATATCCGTTATTCCTGTGTTGATTCGGAAATATGATTAATACTTTGAAAAAATGGATGGGCACTCATGATTCCGTGTACTCCAGTTATGCAAAAGGCTAGTAGGGGTTGACTTGGAATTAATTATTTAGATATTCGGCTTAACATATCAGGACAACGTGTGGAGAGCAATACACTGCTTTTTTTAATTACGACTTCCATCGTATATTTAATACAGATATGTATGCGAACTGTTCAGTCACTTATGTATTGGTTAATCTTCGATGATTCCTCACTGATAGTTGACGTATTGAAATATTGCGGACACTAAGCTTTAAGTCGGAACATGGCTTGTCTTGCTTCTTTCTGGAGCGGCCACAGGCGTCTTCGCCATAACTTCTAGGCGAAACGTGTATTTTAGTGCTTTACTTGCTAAAATTGAGGTAGGCGAAGTATTTTAGATCCCGTCTGACGTTCACAAAGTCGGCTTTCCCGTTGTTCACAAATAGCACTTGCAAAGGGAGAGATTACTTCGGTTATGAGATACGAAACATAGCAAACCCGTGATGACCAAGTCTTAGAGACCGATAGAGGCTCAAGCCAAATCTAGCTTTTATCTTATTTGAAAAATACACTCAAGCCCCTATGCTTACCCTACGGATCCCCCAGTGACAGAATATAAAACATATTTCAGTCAGGTGATATTCTTGCAGCAATTTCTAGTATCTGGTTCCGCTGCAAAAAAGAAGAATGTTCAAGCCACCAATTACATGAGCGTGAGGGGGCTCAAACCCAAAGATGCCAGTTAGGTTTGTGCCGAGTTCTTTCACACAATCCCAAAAGCTCCTGGTGAGTAATATAGGACTTCGACCACTCATTGAAATCTGTATTATCTTATGCTAATCTAAAGGATAATACTTATTGCTCATTGTGGGTAAGGAAATCTTACAGACTGTTGGTGAAATATAAGGGTATGAAGTAAAACTTAGTCCTTCATCCTTTGAAAAGGCAATTCCAATTATGTGGAGCTTTTTAGCATCCGTTTTGTCTTCTGTGAACAATGTTCGTAAATAACTCTTTCGCGGAAAGTTCACCTACAATCAGCTACTTCATCTCATGTATTTTTGGTTACGAGCCGCGAGAACTAGGTAAATATCCCTTTCCCAAACTTATAATTTAACATGACGGGGGCCAGTTAACAGGCATCATCAGATTGATAATGGTAAAGAAGTCTTCGGTTGTTGAGCTATCCTAAATGATACAGAAGGTATTGCATCAGGGTTTACCATGATATCAAGTGACTGCAGGTTATAAAAAGGACAGAAAAATATCACCTTACAGTACATCGAGATTGTTTATAAATTTTGATTATCTCCACTCACTGTTCTTTTTCCACAATAAAGTGATACCTAAATCGTTCAATATAAATAAATTTTTTCTCACATTAAAAAGTTTAACATGGTAGAAGCCAGTTTACAGGCTTCATCACGTTGATACACCTCAAAATATCTGCAAGACTTTACGAGTCCTGAGTGGTACAGAGGAAATGTTATTAAACTCAACTAGAAACAGCCAAAGATCCTGTTACTTATGAAAAGAACAAGGAAATATCATTTTACAGCGTATACATGGTGTTAAACTTTGGATAATAATAAATATTATACTCACATAACAGGTTTAACATGGGGGATACCAGTTTACAAGCACTGTCAAGTTCATAATTTTTGAAAGTTTACAAGCTGGTATTTAGTATTAAATAAGTTACACATCAGATCACTAGTGTACATAATCCCATAAACATTTGCTGAAATTCATGAGACGGGAATGGATTTTCATCCCCCATCTCGCAGACAGGTTCCGCTGTCATTATCACAAGCGCACAGTGTTCAAAGTTTGCTTTGGAACCAACCGATATTGTTAGTCCATTTGCATAGTTCGCTAATGAGTGCACAACAGTTTAGTACTTAGAATGATCTTCAGTTTTTGTCCTTGCAAACCACAAAGGACATATTTATACAGTCTGGAGTATCAATAAAGTATCCACAGTTATATAACCAACATGTATGGCCATAACGATGCATTTTCAGGTCACTATATTAAGCTTAAAGGCAGTACAAATCAATTCCACTAAGAATGTTCGTCATATTTAGACGCTGAAATGATAAATAGTCCAAATGGCAGTATTTAGACCTCGGATACCTTTTGTATTAGCGTAAGCAGCATAACTCAAGAGGTGTATTTGTCGCATATTAGCTTTAATATGAAAAGATTACTTGATACAGAGTACCAGAAAATATGTAGTGTTGAGCTACCCCAGGTAAGTCGCGTTCCGAGCCAATAGGTAAATCGGTCGTGGCCTAATCATCTGTTCTATTTGGAAGGGTTTTAAGTCACTCAAAAGCGTACAGCCCACCTTCTTCTTCTTCTTCTGCAAATTTCCAACTGTATGCAAGATAACTAAATAAATAAACAGACATTTTGTTCTCACATTGAAAAAGTCTAGCATGAGAGAAGCCAGTTTACAGGCTTCATCACGTTGATACATCTCAAAATATCTACGAGACTACGAGTTTTGAGTGGCACGGACGGAATGTCATTAAACTCAATTAAGAACAGCAGAGGATCCTGCTAGTTACGAAACGAACATGTAACTATCACTTTACAGCGTATACAGAGTGTTAAAGTTTAGATAATAATATATGTCATCCTCAATTAATGCGTTTAACTTGAGGGATACCAGTTTACAAGCACCGTCATATTCATTATTTTTGAAATTTTACAAACCGGTATTTATTATTAAACAATTCACATATCAAGTCATCAGTGTGCGTATTCCTATAAACATTTGCTGAAACTCCAGAGACGGGAATGGATCTTTATTTTCATTACACAGACACCTTTCACGATCAATATCAAAAGCGTGCGGTGTTCAAGGTTAGCTTTTTAACCAACCAGCGTTGTTAGTCAATCCGCACAGTTTGCTAATTAGTAATATAACGGTTTATTCCCCAGAATGATCTTCAGTTTTTAGCTCTGCATACCACAAAGGACCCATTTTTACAATTCGTAGTATCAATAAAATGTCCACAGTTATATAACCAAGGTGTATGTCTATATCAATGTTTTCCCAGGTCACCGCGCCGTGTTTAAAGGTAATATTAATCAATTCCACCAAGAATATTTGTTGTATTCGATTCACTTAGACGTTGAAATGATCAATAGTCCAAATGGCAGTATTTAGACCTCGGACACCTTTTGTATTAGCGCAAGCAGCATCAATCAAGAGGTGTATTTGTTGCATATTAGCTTTAATGTGAAAAGACCACTTGATACAGAGTACCAGAATATATGTAGTGTTGAGCTACTCCAGGTAAGTCGCGTTCCGAGCCAATAAGTAAATTGGTCGTGGCCTAATCATCTGTTCAAAATATCCCTGTAACTAGTACTGTTGTGAAAGTTTAATCGGTTCGTTGCAAACAAAAAATCGCGGCCAGCAGGTTGGGCAATCGTGAGGACGGTCCAAAATTCTTGAAAGAGTGGGAGCAGTCCAATAATTATTGGCGTCAATGAGCAGGTATTAGTTCCACAAAGTAATTATGTTCAGACTGAATTTGTGCATCAAATGTCGACATGGAGCTGTTGCCGCAAGTGGAAAAAGAAAGAAGAAGCACCAGCAGGCATGGAAAAGGGGATTACTATGCAATCAAATTTGGAGAAGAGAGAAGTCCCTGTTCTCTTTGGCCTGTTCGAACTTCATGTACGTTTTCATGTATATACGTGGAGCCAACTGCACAGTTTTTTTAATATAAGGTTCTTAAAATTTTCTGTATTTTGGGTGTACCGCGGTGGCCTTGAGAGG